ATAGTGGCTGGAGGCTGACCAGGATCCTTCAAAGAAGAATTCTGTGGAATTCCAGACCATAGTGGCTAGAGGCTGACCAGGCTCCTGACCAGGCTCCTTCAAAGAAGAATTCTGTGGAATTCCAGAGGATTGTGGCCGGAGGCTGACCAGGATCCTTCAAAGAAGGGTTCTGTGGAATTCCAGACCATAGTGGCTAGAGGCTGACCAGGCTCCTGACCAGGCTCCTTCAAAGAAGAATTCTGTGGAATTCCGGACGATTGTGGCCAGAGGCTGACCAGGCTCCTGACCAGGCTCCTTCAAAGAAGAGTTCTGTGCAATTCCGGACCATAGCTGCCGGAGGCTGACCAGGCTCCTTCAAAGAAGAGTTTCGTGGAATTCCCAAACGATAGTGGCCGGAGGCTGACCAGGCTCCTTCAAAGAAGAGTTCTGTGGAATTCCAGACCATAGTGGCTAGAGGCTGACCAGGCTCCTGACCAGGCTCCTTCAAAGAAGAGTTGTGTGGAATTCCCAAACGATAGTGGCCGGAAGCTGACCAGGCTCCTTCAAAGAAGAGTTCTGTGGAATTCCCAAACGATAGTGGCCGGAGGCTGACCAGGCTCCTTCAAAGAAGAGTTCTGTGGAATTCCCAAACGATAGTGGCCGGAGGCTGACCAGGCTCCTCCAAAGAAGAGTTCTGTGGAATTCCGGATGATAGTGGCTGGAGGCTGACCAGGCTCCTTCAAAGAAGAGTTCTGTGGAATTCCAGACCATAGTGGCCAGAGGCTGACCAGGCTCCTCCAAAGAAGAGTTCTGTGGAATTCCAGACCATAGTGGCTAGAGGCTGACCAGGCTCCTGACCAGGCTCCTTCAAAGAAGAATTCTGTGGAATTCCGGACGATTGTGGCCAGAGGCTGACCAGGCTCCTGACCAGGCTCCTTCAAAGAAGAGTTCTGTGCAATTCCGGACCATAGCTGCCGGAGGCTGACCAGGCTCCTTCAAAGAAGAGTTTCGTGGAATTCCCAAACGATAGTGGCCGGAGGCTGACCAGGCTCCTTCAAAGAAGAGTTCTGTGGAATTCCAGACCATAGTGGCTAGAGGCTGACCAGGCTCCTGACCAGGCTCCTTCAAAGAAGAGTTGTGTGGAATTCCCAAACGATAGTGGCCGGAGGCTGACCAGGCTCCTTCAAAGAAGAGTTCTGTGGAATTCCCAAACGATAGTGGCCGGAGGCTGACCAGGCTCCTTCAAAGAAGAGTTCTGTGGAATTCCCAAACGATAGTGGCCGGAGGCTGACCAGGCTCCTCCAAAGAAGAGTTCTGTGGAATTCCGGATGATAGTGGCTGGAGGCTGACCAGGCTCCTTCAAAGAAGAGTTCTGTGGAATTCCAGACCATAGTGGCCAGAGGCTGACCAGGCTCCTCCAAAGAAGAGTTCTGTGGAATTCCCAAACGATAGTGGCCGGAGGCTGGACCAGGCTCCATCAAAGAAGAGTTCTGTGGAATTCCGGATGATAGTGGCCAGAGGCTGACCAGGCTCCTTCAAAGAAGAGTTCTGTGGAATTCCCAAACGATAGTGGCCGGAGGCTGGACCAGGCTCCATCAAAGAAGAGTTGTGTGGAATTCCGGATGATAGTGGCTGGAGGCTGACCAGGCTCCTTCATAGAAGAATTCTGTGGAATTCCGGACGATAGTGGCCAGAGGCTGACCAGGCTTCTCCAAAGAAGAGTTCTGTGGAATTCCAGACCATAGTGGCCGGAGGCTGACCAGGCTCCTGACCAGGCTCCTCCAAAGAAGAGTTCTGTGGAATTCCGGACGATAGTGGCCAGAGGCTGACCAGGCTCCTTCAAAGAAGAGTTCTGTGGAATTCCGGATGATAGCGGACGGAGGCTGACCAGGCTCCTTCAAAGGAGAGTTCTGTGGAATTCCCAAACGATAGTGGCTGGAGGCTGGACCAGGCTCCTCCAAAGAAGAGTTCTGTGGAATCCCGGACCATAGTGGCCGGAGGAGAGGCAGTGCAACTGTGAACAAACCGGCACGGCGATATTCAGCGCGGAGAAAATCGGAAGTTTGAGAGAGAGAAAATCGGGAAGTTTGAGAGGGCAAAAAATGTTTAGCAAAATCTGGAAGTGCAACGCATTGCGACGCAGGGAGTCGGTTAACGTGGAGTTAACGCGTGGCCGGGTTCATCACGCTCCTCATCCCCCCTCTCTCCGTCTGAGGCCACGGGGGGACACAGCGACGCTGCCTTCATGTTTTGCCGTCGTTCTACGGAGGGCCCGCGGGTCGGCACCAGGCGGCTGCGTTGGCTGTCGAGCGGGCCGGCTCTCTGCGTTGTGTCGTTGTGTGCGTTCGTAAGTTCACCGCGTCGGTGTTCTAGATTCGAAGCTTTCGTGACTGCAAGGATCCACACTCTTTGGTTCTGTTCGGTAAAGTCACGTTGGTAAAAAAAAAAAAAACATTTAACTAGTTTTCAATGGTACGGTATATTTTTCAAGTAGTGGTACCCCAAACTTTCGCAGCTCTTA